TCACTGGGAGAGGAGAGGGCCACGGCCCTGTGTGTTTTTCAGTAACAGGAAAGGTGGTTCTGGGCTGGGAAGTGAAGGAATAGAATACCATCCAGCCTGTTGTGTAGTCATGGGCTGGTACTCTCTCGTTCTGGAAAATGGAAAGGTTTGACCTTGTCCCTCCAACCTCAGGGCTGATGGGAACATGGAAGCCCTGTGAAGACTGAAATAAGTGCCACATAGAAAGGAAGAGTCTAAACTGGAGTCACTGTCACTACCCCTGTGCCATCCCTGCTTGGGATGCTGGTCCCGAGTGGATTAGCTGCTGCGTTGGGGGTGGGGTATGTGCATGAGAGAGGCTTTTTCTGTCCCTTTCAGTCCAGAGTCTGGATTGGGAGACCTTTGAGCAGTATTGTGCCTGGCAACTCTTCCTGGCCCACAACATCCCCCTGGAGACCATAATCCCCATCCTGCAACACCTTAAGTACAAGGGTGAGTAGGGTTAAATCCTGGGAGTGCAGGGAACAGACATCCCAGTCCAGCTGTGGCAAAACAGGCCTTTGGGCTGCTAGGATGAGGCCATGGCAGTGCCTGGCTCCTCACCGCCACAGCACAGAGAGCAGGCTCGGCAGTGAGCCCTGCACCCCGCTCTGAGCTGAACACCAGGATTCTTCCTGGCTCTTGGTCCAAGACTCCGCTTGCTCTTCCAGTGGTTGTTGCCTGGGGGATAGGAGAGGTGCCCAGGGTCCTACTTGGAAAGATATGTTCCCTGAACAGCTGCTCTCCATCCCCACAGAGCACCCAGAGGCCCTGTCTTGCCTGCTGCTTCAGCTCCGAAGAGAGAAGTAAGTTCTGCCCCAGGGTCCTTAGCTGTCAGTACCAGCACACCAAGTGTGTTACAAGAGGATTCTGTCCTATTCCTTTTGCCTTTTTCTTTTTCCTATTGTTGATATCTGCTTATTCTGCCCTTCACCCAGTGTGACTTAGAAACAAGCAGCTCTCCTGGGATCTGGGTTTCCTCTTGCCCCTGCCCACCAGGAGCTGCCCACAGAGGTGAGGAAGTGGGGACCGGACATCCCTGTTTCCTGCTGCCGCAGCAGTTCTAATCCTGGTGGCCCTTGCTCCCCTCCCCCACACTCCTGCACAACACCAGCTAATCCAAGAGGAGGAAGCATCAGAGTGCAGACTTCACTCCCATCCCCGCCTCGGCCCGCCCTGAACAGAGCAGCTGGGCCCACGGCCTCCCTGCCAGGAATAGGGCACAGTGGGTGAGAGGCACAAGGCTCCCTTTCCGTCGTGGGCATTTTAGCAGCCTTCCCAGATAAACGAGGCAGCAGCTGTGTGTCTTTTCCTTCCTGCCTCCTGCCTGCCTTCCACAAACCTTTTCTCTTCCCTTGCCTGAGAACTAGCACAGTGCTCCAGAGGAAGTGGGAAGGTAGAGGACTGTGGGAACTACAGCTTCACAGCCGTCTCTCACTGCTCCCTCGGGCCAGATACCAGCCTGGCTCCCACCGAGCAGGAGGGAGCCGCCTCGAACCACAGGCTGGTCTCTCTGCTCTGAGGGAGCCGAGGGAAGGGGCTCTGGTGGCCTCACCCCCAACATTCGTGCCCAGCTTCTGCCACCACAGAGATGGAAGAATCTCACTTCTCTCCTGGCTTCACAGAGGATGAAACTAGACCTTCCTTCCCTAAAGGGAAGGAGGAGAAGAATATGAGCATAGGGAGCAGCAGTGTGCCTCTAGCAGGGTGGAGGCTGGGGGTTGGACAGTAAGTGGGAGAGTCCCAGCAGCCCAAGGCTGCTAGCTATGCACAGTACTCATCTTGCCCCCAGGCCCAGTGAGGAGATGGTGAAGATGGTGCTGAGCCGGCCCTGCCATCCCGACGACCAGTTCACCACCAGTATCCTGCGGCACTGGTGCATGAAGCATGACGAACTGCTGGCGGAGCATATCAAGTCCCTGCTCATCAAGAACAACAGCCTCCCTCGAAAGAGGCAGAGGTAGGTCCTAGCCCTTGCCTGCTGCCCACTGTCAGCAGACCATTTCCAGGGCTGCCACAGTGACCCTGCCCTGGGATGGTGGGTTGCGGTGTTGTCCTAGCCTGGTCTGTGGGTGACATCTAGTGTTCTGAAGCCATGTGCCATGCAGGGCCTCATGGCTCCTGCTGCCCCCTTACTCCTCCTGGTGCCCAATAGCGGCACACTTTCCAGCTGCCTCCCTGCCCTGACACACTCTTGCCTCGGCCCTGGTGGAGTGGAGGGTGTCTCTCACTTGGGGAGCCCTCCCCATGAGCTCAGTGGCCCTCTTGTCCTCCTTACGCAGCCTGAGGAGCTCCAGCAGCAAGCTGGCCCAGCTGACCCTGGAGCAGATCCTGGAGCACTTAGACAACCTGCGCCTCAACCTGACCAACACCAAGCAGAACTGTATGCCCACCCTGTGGTTCTGGCCTCACAGTGCTGCCCTGGCTCTGCCTCTTCTAGAGCCAGGCTAGGGCAGGAGCAGGACTCCCAGGGCTGGAACCCAAGCCCCTGGGAGAACACAGCCTTGGGGACATCTGTGGGCTCCCAGATATCTCATTGTTCTTTCTTCTCTGCTCTCCTTCCTGTCCCCCTCTAGTTTTTAGCCAGACCCCAATCCTGCAGGCACTGCAGCACGTCCAGGCCAGCTGTGACGAAGCCCACAAGATGAAGTGAGTCTCCTACTTTTTTTTCTACTTGAGAAGTGGGGAGAAGGCCTAGGGCAGAGGAAGGACACAGACGTGTGATGGATTGACAAGGACAGAGGTGTGCGGCCAGGACAACAGCACTGAGAGCTTGTTCTTGTCTGTAGGTTCAGTGATCTCTTCTCCCTGGCTGAGGAATATGAAGACTCTTCAACTAAGCCGCCCAAGAGCCGGAGGAAGGCAGCTCTGTCCAGCCCTCGGAGTCGCAAGAATGCCACTCAGCCCCCCAATGCTGAAGAGGAGTCAGGCTCCAGCAGCGCCTCAGTAAGTCCCCGGCAGTGTAGTGTGTGGGAGGAAGGGCCAGTGGGTCCAGGTGGAGTGGGGCCCAGGCTAGTGATTTTCCCTTGCCCTTCCACCTCTTTCAGGAGGAAGAAGACACAAAGCCGAAGCCCACCAAACGGAAACGGAAAGGGTCTTCTGCTGTGGGTTCTGACAGTGACTGAGGCCCCGAGTCTCTGTCCCACCCCCAGGTGGACTGCCCTCCTCCCTGATAAATCAGAGGGTCAGCAGGGCCAGGGATAGGATATGCAGGGAGCACCCACTCCTTCCCAGGCTTGCCCAGTGGGAAGCATGAACTGCTTTCCGGGACCCAGCCTGGGAAGCCGCCATGCAGCCCCCATCCCACCCCTCGTGTCCTGCTGCTTCCACTTGCACTTGGGGTCTCAAAGCAGACCATATTTTACCAGCTCCTCCCCAGTCTCAAGAAGAGCCATTTCAGCAAAAAGTGCGATGACTGAGCGGCTGCTGGGCAGGGCAGTGCACTCCCTCTGCTGTCCTGATTCTCTCTGGACTGACGACACATAATCACCTCCATACACCAGTGTGAACTGGGCACCTAGCCCAGTGTGGTTGGTGCCCACCTGAGCAGATGTCACAGCCTTTGGGACGAGCTGGTACCTGAACTCATTCCCCAGGCAGATTTCTGAGCTTGGCACCTCAGGCTGAGTCAGAGTCGGGGAGTCCCAGAAGCAAGTTCCTCAGAACTGTGAAATGGCCCTTGGTTCTGTTTTGCTTTTTTATTTTGTTTCTTTTTTTTCCTCCAAAGATAATTGCGGTTTAAAAGTTGGTTTTAAATGACAATAAAACAAGCCAGAGCAACTTTTGTCCTGGAGTCACTGCCCGCATTTACCCTGTGCACGTACAGATGGTTCCAGTGTCATTGGCACCGTGCTTTCCAGCTCACTGTGTCTCCTCTTCCTGCTCAGCCCCACCTTTATCTAGGCCCGGAGGGACCTGGCCTTGTCCTCTGCCATCCTTCCTGTACCGGGGCAGTGTGAGCAGAAGTTGCTGCTGGCACTGAAGACCCAGCCTTGTCATCCTCCGCAGCAGTCTAATGACTGCTGAGTAACTGCTTGGCAGGGATGCACTCTCCCAGGCCGTAGGCACAGAAATCTGCCTGGGGAACGAGTTCAGGTACCAGTGCCAGGGGCGGCTCCAGGTGGCCACTGGCTGGTCCACATGTTCCAGCAGAGGTGTTGCTGGGTTGGGTTTTAGGCCCACTCCTGCCGGCTTGCAGGCTGGAGGACGAGAAGGGTGAAGGTTGGGTGCCTTGCAGATGGCTTCTGACTGAGCCTGCAGATTTTCCTTTTCCTGGAATCTGGGTTGCCCTCTCCCCGCTTCTGTTGAAAGTCTAAACCACAGGCGGCCTCAGAGGCCTTTTTTCCCTTCCTCTCCTTCCCGTTTCCTCTGCTCAATTAAAACCAGGCTGGAAAGCATTCTTTGGCGGTTCCCAGTGATTGTCCTTTTGCCCAAAAAGGGGGGACCTCTGCTGAACGGCCTCTCCAGAAGTGTGCCTGTCTGGGCCTCCACCTTTTCCCTGCTTAACTGCCCTTACCCTATGGATTTGGCTAATCGACCTGGGACTTGCAGAACTAAATAGGGCTGGGCATGGTGACACACGCCTGTAATGCCAGCACTCGGGAGGCTGAGTCAGGACAGTGACTGCGAGTTCGAAGCCATCTTGGACTACATAAACTTTGTCTCAAAAAAAAAAATCTCCAGTGTGTGTGTGTGTGGGGGGGCGGGTAATGGTGGTGGCATGGTAACCTCCCTCCAACACAGTTGAAATGGTAATTTCAGAAAGACAGGCCCTGGACTCCAATGTCCTGGCTCACAGACTAGAGGCCCCAACCACCGCAGAAAAGAATTTGGAAAGTCGGTGCGGACCGGGATGGAAAGCAAGCGCCAGCACCGCCCAAAACTCGACCAGCGATTGTAGGGGATCCAAGGAGGGAGCGGGCGGGGCGGGGCGGGGCGGGGCGGCCTCGGCTCTCCCCCAACCCCCTCCTGGGGGTGGGGTTCGCCACACGCTCCCAGGCCAGAGAGGTCTCCGGGCTGGAGTGAGGGGCCAAGTTTTCGGAGGAGCCTGCCTAGTGTCCGCAGGGGGCCGGGCTGGGTGCTGGGGTTGGGGAGGCAGCACAATGGCTGCCCTCGTCCTGTTGTCCGCGCTCTTACTGCTGCCCTTGCTGCTGCTGAGGCTGCGTCTCTGGCCGCAGCTGCGCTGGGTGGCGGCGGACTTGGCCTTCGTGGTGCGCGCCCTGCGCTGCAAAAGGGCTCTGCGAGCCAGTCTGCTGGCCGCAGCAGCTGCCGATCCGGAGGGTCCCGAGGGAGGCTGCAGCCTGGCCTGGCGCCTCGCACAGCTGGCTCGGCAGCGACCCACTCACACCTTCCTCATCCATGGCGCGCGGCGCTACAGCTACGTGGAGGCGGAGCGCATGAGTAACCGGGCGGCGCGCGCCTTCCTGCGTGCGCGGGGCTGGCATCTGGGGCTCTGTGGCGGGGCCCCGGGGAGTGGTGGGGTCAACAAGCAGGCATCGCGAGGCGCGGGGGACGCGGTGGCCGGAAGCGGCGCGGTGCCTCCAGAATGTGGAGACGATGGGGCGCCCAGAGGTACAGCCGCAGCCCCGCTGGCACCTGGAGCAACTGTGGCACTGCTCCTCCCCTCCAGTCCAGAATTCCTGTGGCTCTGGTTTGGGCTGGCCAAGGCCGGCCTGCGCACCGCCTTTGTGCCCACCGGCCTACGCCGGGCCCCGCTGCTCCACTGCCTTCGCAGCTGCGGAGCGCGCGCGCTGGTGCTGGCTCCAGGTAAGTCCAAAGCAGGCCGCCGAACTGTTGCCTGGGGCTCAGCAGTCAGTGTGGTAGGACTCCCTGGAACTGCGAAGGGGTGGTGCTGAGCCTGGTGTCCCAAGGGTTCCTCAACCTATGGTTGCCTGGATGCCGTGCCCGTCACCATGAGCACCATGGAGAGGCGCAAGGCCAGTGGCAAGGAGGGCCTCTGGGTAGCCACAGAGCCGTGGAGCTATGCATTTCCAATCCTTCCAGAGTTTTTGGAATCCCTGGAACCAGACCTGCCAGCCCTGAGAGCCTTGGGGCTCCACCTGTGGGCTGCAGGCCTTGAAACCCGCGTTGCTGGAATCCACGATGTGCTGGCTGAGGTGGCAGCCGAAGCAGATGAGCCGGTGCCAGGCTACCTCTCCGCCCCCAGCAGCCTAACGGACACCTGCCTGTACATCTTTACCTCCGGCACCACGGGTGAGGGCTGACAGCTCCCACACCACCCCTTAAGATATCCCAGGGAAGAACCCATCGCAGGACGCATCTTCTCTCCCTCATCCTCCTGCTTTCTCTTTGTGTCTCTTCCTTCCACCCCCAACCGCCTACCTACTTCCTAGAACAGCCTGAACCTCCATCTTTCTCACCTCTCCGTAGGAAACCCCGCAGGCGCTAAGCTCAGGCTCTTCCCCTGACTCCTCCCGCAGGCCTCCCCAAGGCAGCTCGCATCAGTCATCTGAAGGTCCTACAGTGCCAGGGCTTCTACCAACTGTGCAGAGTCCAGCAGGAAGATGTGATCTACCTCGCCCTTCCCCTCTACCACATGTCAGGCTCCTTGTTAGGCATCGTGGGCTGCTTGGGCATTGGTCAGTCTCCCTACTTGGTCTTACTCATTCCTCCAGCAAAGGGTGTTTCCCTGGGAGTGTGTACTGAATCTTTCCGGGTGGAGCGTGCAGAGCGGGAAGCAGGGCCACTGTCCAGGAGCTCCGGGTACAGCTGAAAATGTTACCCAGGCAACAGAGAGATCATGCCCTTCACAGAAGAAAGTGGAGGGAGGGTTGTGTCATTCCAAGAAGAGGTAAATGAGAGTCACATGGAGGAAAGGAAGGACTTGCAAAGGGGATCAAAGGGATGGAATATTTAGGGCTGGGACACAGGGAAGGGGCATTAGCCTGTCAAGGCACAGGTAGAGAATGATGAGGGCCACCATGGCCTTGGCAGGGCCAACTCTCCAGCAGATCCTTCCTTGTCCCCTTCTGTCAGGAGCCACAGTGGTGCTGAAGTCCAAGTTCTCCGCTGGCCAGTTCTGGGAAGACTGCCAGCAGCACAGGGTGACAGTGTTCCAGTACATTGGGGAGCTGTGCCGATACCTTGTCAACCAGCCTCCGGTGCGTGGGCAGTCACTGAGGCTGGGCTAGGTCAGGGGGACCGGTGAGAGCTCGAGGAACACTGGGACCATTGTCTGGGAGCCAGAGGGAAGAGCTGACAGCCTGGTGTAGGAGCCCCAGACATGAGCCTCCCGCTGACACAGTGACTGAGGGGGATGCATGGAGGGTTTGGGGGACAGAGAATGCAGCTTCATTTTGGGGAGCTGGCTTCCTCGTGTTGCACCCTCCCTTCTGTACAGAACAAGGCAGAATGTGGCCATAAGATCCGGCTGGCAGTGGGCAGTGGGCTGCGCCCAGACACCTGGGAGCGTTTTGTGCGGCGCTTTGGGCCCCTGCAGGTGTTGGAGACATACGGCTTAACTGAGGGCAACGTGGCCACCTTCAACTACACCAGACAGCCGGGTGCTGTGGGGCGTGCTTCCTGGCTGTACAAGGTGACGGGCAGAGAGAAACCCAAGAACCCGTGGAGCAGTGGGGATGGGCTCTTACACTGAAATAACCCAGCTCCTGCTCTCCCCTCCCCAGCACCTCTTCCCCTTCTCTTTGATTCGCTATGATGTCACCACAGGGGAGCCAGTTCGGGATGCCCGGGGGCGCTGTGTGGCCACCTCTCCAGGTTTGTGCTCAGTGCAGTGGGTGGGGGTATGGAGTTCAGTGGGGTGGGGTCTGGGTGAGGCAGGTATCCCTGCTGACCGTGGGGACTCTGCCAGGTGAGCCAGGACTGCTGGTGGCCCCAGTGAGCCAGCAGTCCCCATTCCTTGGCTACGCGGGAGGCCCAGAGCTGGCCCGGGGAAAGCTGCTGCAGGACGTCTTCCAGCCTGGGGATGTGTTCTTCAACACCGGGGACCTGCTCGTCTGTGATGACCAAGGCTTTCTTCGCTTCCATGATCGCACCGGGGACACCTTCAGGTATTGCCCATAATTTTCTGATTCTTTCCTCTGGACATCAGATCTCTGTGATCCAAACCTCAAAAATCTCAACTCCCTCATCTCCCATCTGGTCAGTCCTCCCAGGACCTCATCCACATCCCCATTCTCAGACCTCTTACATGTTTAATCCCTGACTCTGAGTGCTCTCCCCTCCGAGCTCCCCAGCCCTCCGTCCTGGGCTCTTTAATTTCAGATCTCTGCTGTCTTGACAGGTGGAAGGGGGAGAATGTGGCCACGACCGAGGTGGCTGAGGTCTTCGAGGCCCTGGACTTTCTTCAGGAGGTGAACATCTACGGAGTCACTGTGCCAGGTGCTCAGGCATGGAAGTGGGGGAGTCGTCCAGCCCACCACCCCAAATTGATAATGCGGGGGCATAAGGCCTTCCTGGTAGCAGCCAGCATGGCTCACACTGCCTCCACCCTCGCCAGGACATGAAGGCAGGGCTGGAATGGCAGCCCTGGTTCTTCGCCCCCCCCACACTTTGGATCTTAAGCAGCTCTACTCCCACGTGCATGAGAACTTGCCGTCTTATGCCCGGCCTCGGTTCCTACGGCTCCAGGTAACCCTGTCCTGTGCGAGGAAGGACAGCTGTGCCGAACATGCTTCTCCTGCCTCCTTCCCTGCCTCCCTGCTCCTGGCCTGTCACCTTTTGTTCCCTGCCACCTCCTGCCCTTGACCTTTCCTATGCTTCCTAACCCCAGATTTGCCCCTTAGCACAGTGTAAGCCGCTCACCCTCACCTGCACATCTGACAGAAGCTCTTTTCCTTCCACTGCCTTTGACCTCCTGCTTCCCCAGGAGTCTCTGGCCACCACGGAGACCTTCAAACAGCAGAAGGTTCGGATGGCCAATGAAGGCTTTGACCCCAGCACACTGTCTGACCCACTCTACATCCTGGACCAGACTGCAGGGGCCTACCTAGCCCTCACGCCTGCCCGGTACAGTGCCCTGCTAGCTGGAGACCTTCGAATCTGAGAACGTCCATACCCAACGCACCCGAGGGAGGGCCTCTGAGGGGTGCGGGCTGTTGCAGTATATCTGGGCTTTTATACATTGGGATCTTTTATACATTGATTTTCATTGTTTTATAATAAATGATGCAACAAATTGCCAAGGGAATTGAGAGACATACTGGCTAGTAGGAGCCAGTAAAGAATTAAAGTAATGAAAAGTAGAGTGGCACAAAAAGTTAAATAAAAAATCAAGATTTTTTTAAAACTGCATAAAATATAATTAATGATGCTCAGGCCAACCTGGCTGTGTCTTCCTGATCTGGCCTGAAGTCTTCTGAGTGTGAGCGGATCTTCTTTACCTCTGAGTCACTGGCCCTGCATTTCTGCCCTGACTTTAAGGCCCTTTTTCTCAGGGGACCTTGTCTTGAGAGCCCCAAGGTTGATATTTGCCTGGGTTTGTGTGTGTCCCATCTCATTTTTCTCCCTGACTGCAGGACCCCACTGTTCTATCTAGGGAGCCGGAGAGCCCCAGAAACACTGCCCTCTGGGTGTGCCCACACTTTTCCCCAGCACAGGTGTGGTGGCGACCCGGGCTTGAGTCTCCACCAGGTAAAACAAGCAGTAGATTTGGGGGAACTGAAGATCAGGGTCCTCTTGCCCTCACAGCTCTGAGAAGCCTGTGAGGGGAGGGTAAAGCCTACAGATGCAAGGTTCCCACTCCTACAGGGCCCTGGTCAGATGGTCCCAATGGGAGAGGGTGGCAGCAGCCCCTCGGCGCGTGGCAGCAGAAGGGAGGGCTGGAACCGGAGGAGTCGCTCCTTGGGCCCTGAATGAGGTGGCCAGGAAGGTCACCCACCACCTGAAAGGGGTTTCGTTTTGATGAACAAGGTTGTTTGTAAATTTACTCAGCATATATAATGGACCTAAAACTCAATAGCATAAATTTAAAATCGCTTGGAAGGCTGTCTCTTCCCAGGACAATACACAGATGAGACCCAACCCAATGCCATCTTCACTGGCAGAGCTCCCAGAGGGGGAGCAGTGTGCGATGCCCCCCAACGGTTTACTCTAAGTGTCCCACAGGAAGAATGAGGCTCCATATTGTTTCCTTTTAGTAGAAAAGAAAAACCCTAATTATAAGATCAAACAATACAATAAAAAGCTGCAGTAACTGGAATGTTAGTAACAGACTCACTTGTTCTTCTAGAGCTTTTAGAAACAGAACCTCCCGGGGCTGGGGATTTAGCTCAGCGGCATAAGTGCCTTGCAAGCAGGCAGTCGTGAGTTTGATCCCCGGTACCGATAAAAAGGAAAAAGAAAAAAAACTAAATAATAATAATAATAAAAAAAAGAAACAGAACCTCCCATGAGTGTGTGCAGGATAAACCAGAGGGTTGGTTAAGGTGGTAGGATGAGGATTTATGTAAGGAATTTTACTACACTGACAGCAAGTGTGCTGTGGTTAGGAGAAAACCGACTTCATTTACATGCATGGGGATGGAGCGGAATGGGGAAAAAAGCAAGTTATATCATGTACAGGTACACATTCTCTATGATGAATGTGATCATTAAAGATAGCTAAAATATACCAATAAAATTTTAAAAGCAATATATAAATTACACCTTAATGATAAGACTCCCCAGCATTTGTGAATGTAAAACATTTGATTTTAAAATATCGGCACTGGGGCTGGGGATTTAGCTCAGCGGCATAAGGGCCTGCCTTACAAGCAGGCAGTCGTGAGTTCGATCCCTGGTACCGATGAAAAGGAAAAAGACAAAAATATATATATATATATATATATATATATATATATATATATCGGCACTACAGTTTATAAAATAACTATTGTAAAATGCACAGAGTGCATGCTTTAGCTCCCAGGTGTCCTTTTCTTTTTGAGAAACTGTAAGTTACTTTGTGGTCAAGGTTTTGTATCTTCAGCCTTGAAAAAGCCTACATGTATGATAAGACCTAACAGCCCCAATCGTTACATACCTAGAGCAAGTCATAACTAGTTCTGTTCAAAGACATCCTGTAGCCGGGCGTGTGGAGGCACTCCTGTAATCCTAGCATTTGGGGAGGCTGAGGGAGGCGGATCAGCATCACTGCAAGTTTGAGACCAGCGTGGGCTGCAAAGTGAGCCCAAAGCCAGCCTAAACCAAACATCCAGACTCTTGTCTCAAAAAAAAAAAAAAAAAAAAAAAAAAAAAAAAAAGAAAAGAAAAGAAAGAAAGAAAAAGCATCCTGTGGGGCTGGGGATTTAGCTCAGCAGCATAAGCGCCTGCCTTGCAAGCAGGCAGTCGTGAGTTCGATCCTTGGTACCGATGAAAACGAAAAAGACAAAAAAAAAAAAAAAAAAAAAGGCATCCTGTAAACACTTATCAACTCTAGCGGCTTAACAGCTACCCAACAAGTCATGAGGTGGTACAAGCCTGCACTTGGGAGGCTGAGGCAGGAGGACTGTTGGGAGTTCCAGGTCTGGGCTACATAGTGAGTGCAAGGTCACTCTGAACTATACAGTGAGCCCCTGTCTCAAAGAAAAAAGAAACAGTGAAAAGCATGGAATGTCAGCCGCCCCTTCTGCATCTCCTGAGCAAAAGTGCTCACATCCCTGAGGCATGTGACTCACTTTTCACTTTCATCTTGGTGGAATGGCTTCAGTGCCAATGCAACAATTTTTTTTCTTTTTCTTTTTTGGTACTGGGGATCGAACTCGTGACCTCGCACTTGCCAGGCAGGTTCTTAAGCCACTGCGCTAAATTCCCAGCCCCAATGCAACAATTTCTTATAAAAGAAATAAAAAATAACAAACTATTTTACAGAATCTACTACAAAACGCCACAAAAACTGTCTTCACTTAATATTTCTGTCTGTCTCTGTCTGTCTGTCTCTCTTTCTCTCTCACCCAGAGGGCTCGCTAATTGTCTGTGGTGCCTCCACTGGGGGTTTCCAGTCCATCTTGCAATCCTGGGCAATCGCTTATCAACCTCTGCAGAGGCAGCTTCCAAATGAGAAGGTGGTGTGAGAAGCTGGTGGATTTCCGGGAACCAAGACCAATCTCTCCAAGAGCAGCGGTCTGGGCAGCAGAGACTAAGCTTCTCCGCCCTGTCGGCAGAGGGCAGACTTGTCCTGCAGCTTTATTGGCCAGCGGGTGGGAGGAGGGGCGGGAGGGAGAAGAGGCGGGGTCCGGCCAAGGATTTAAAATGTCGCCGCTGTTTTAGGTGGCTTCTTGGACCGCTGCACCACTTAGTCCAGAGCCACAATTGCCGAGAGGAAAAAAGCTCTTTTGCAAAAAAAAAGCTCCAAGCCACCTTGCGCTTTAGACGGTTCAAACGATGGATCGATGGATCGTCCAGCTGGGCAGGGTGTGCATACCTGTAACGCCAGGATTTAGGGAAGCTGTGACAGGAGGATTACAAACTCAAGGCCCTGGACAATTTAAGGAGATTTTGTCTCAAAAAATAAAAAGGGTTGAGTCTGTAGCTCAGCGGTAGAGTGCCCTTGGGTGTGATCTCCTGTTACTGCAAAAACAACAAAAACTCCTAGGCACTGCACCTCTTTTTGAGCTGTAGGAGCTGGGGCTGTTTTTTGTTTGGTTGGTTGGTTGGCTGGTCTGGTTTGGTTTGGATCTCTTTTTTTTAAATGATGAAACTGGGATTGAACCAGCACTTCACACATGCTGTGCAAGCATGCTACCACAGAGGGGCACCTCCAGCCCTTTTTGAGACAGCTTCTCACTAATTTGTTCAGACTGACCTTGAACTTGTAGGAAGGCACTTATGCCACTGAGCTAAATCCCCAAGCTCAAGGATGTGTTAAGAGCATACACCATCACCCATGAGGAATGTGATCATTATGCCCTATGAAGCAGAACTAGAGGGTCGCTGCGAATTCGAGGCCAGCCTGGGCTATGGTAGTGAGTTCAAGGCCAGCCTGAAGCTACAAAGTTGTGCCCAAAGCATTTAGCACAGGCCTGTAGTCCCAGCTACTTAGGAGAATGAGGCAGGAGGATCACTTGATTATTTTCCTCTTACTGATTCATGCCAGGAGTTTATGATTGTACCCATTGTGACCATTTACTGCATGTACATAACACAGCTTAATTTTTTTACTTCTCCTACCTATTGTGTGGGATTTAAAAAAAAAAAAAAAATCTCTTTTGAGGCAGGGTCTCCCTATGTGGCTCAGGCTGACCCCTAACTCACTATGTAGCCTAGGCTGGCCTCAAACTCCTAGAGATCTTCCTGCTTCAGCCTTCTAGTGCTGGGATTACAGCCATGTACCACCATGCTTAACTGTTGTGTAGTTTGACTCCAATTTTCCTGATGCCTAATGATGTGGAGTTATCTTTTCATGCATTTACTTGTTATTTCTAAATCTTTAGAGAAATGTCTATTTAAATTATTTACTCATTGGGAATTTGCCTTTTTATTTTTTTATTTTTTAAATTTTATTTTAAAGTGAATAAAACCAGACCAGGGATTTGGCTTAGTAGTATAAGTACCTGCCTGGCAAGTGCAAGGTTGTGAGCTCAACCCCTGGTAGAAAAAGAGAGAGAGAGAGAGAATAAAACCAAACAAAATGAAATAGAATAAAGCCAATCAAAATAAAACAATGGCCTGGGTTCACACCTGTGATCCCAGTACTTGGGAGGCTGAGATAAGAGGATCCCTCTGAGTTTGAGAACAGCCTGGGATACAAAGTGAGCTCAAGGACAGCCTGAACTTCTTGGTGATACCTTGTCTCAAAAAAAAAAAAAAAAGACAAAACAAACAAAAAATAATGAATGCCAGATGCAGTGGCACACACCTATAATCCCAGCACTCAGGAGGCTGAGGCAAGAGGGTACAAAGTGAGCTCAAGGCCAGCCTGAACTGCATAGTAAGACCCTGTCTCAAAAAGACCAAAAGCAAAACAAACAAATAAAAAAAGCAAATAGGAAATCAACACTGGCTACCATAATGTGTCACAGTTTCTTCAAGTAACTATCCATAAGACATAATAAAATTAAACAAAACAGAATAGAATAAAATTGATGAAAATGAAACAATGAAAGTGATACGGGATTTCAAAACAAGATAATATCAAGTCAACAATGGCTCTTGTAATCTTCAAAATAGCTGCCCATGCCGTCAGACATAATGGAACCTAACAAAACAAAACAGAATAAAATCAAATCAAACGAAACAGTGAACATGATACAGGAGTTCAAAACAAGATAATAGGAAATTAACAATGGCTACTCCTTCCCTTATTAGACATTTCCTTTCCTTTCACCTTCACAATACCTATTGTACATTTGGGTCTCACTAACTTCTTCAGGTTTTTATACTAGGGAGACAGCACAGTGTTCACCTAGGTGAGTCTGTTATGGTTTGTGTCTGGGTGGCCTCCCAAGCCTCCAGCAGTCATGGACACAGCTGAATCTAGCATTTGTGATTGGTTTCTTCTCTAGCCCTGCGATTGGTGGTGTGAGTGCTGCACCCGCCCAGGGGTGGGTAATTGGCCTACAATACAGGGGAAAGGAGATTTGCTTTTTCTTCTTTTGCCCTTCTTAACCTGTTTACTGTTAAGAAATGGTTGCCCCTCAGCTGTGCCACCCCAACTTGGAGCCTCCTGAGTAGAGACTGAAACCTTAAAAAACTGTAAGCTAAATAAATCTTTCCTTGCTTCACTTTGGACATCAGGTATTTTGTCTCAACAACAAGAGGAGTTCGGGGTTTAGCTCAACGGCATAAGTGCCTATTTGGCCAACGCGAGGTTGTGACTTTGATCCCTGGCACCAAAAAAAAAAAAACAACAAGAAAGTGAACCAAGACAGAGTCAGAGTCCAAATATATTTTCATGAGCCTGATCTCAAGTTGCATCCATTTACCTACAAGACCCTTGAAGTTATCCTTCTTTATGGCTGAGTAGCTTTTCATTGTATAAAAATACCATATCTTTCCTATCCATTCTGCAGTTGATGGATTAGCTACCCCTGCTTTTTTCTGGGTTCCAGTCACATGGAACATTGTCTTATCTTCTCTAACCTTCAGTCCATGAATTTTCTTTCAAGTCGAATATGTTTCTTATATACAGAATATTAATGGATCCTGTCTTCCAAATCACTCTGTCCATGTTTCTATTTATTGGTAAGTTGAGGCCATCTAAATTAATAGTTATGATGCACTTGCACTGGCTCATCACCACCATCTGTCCTCCTGCCTCTGGTTCCCCGCTTTTCCTCTCCATTCAATTGCCTGCCCTGCACAGTGATCCCCCTCTGCTACTGCTCCTGGAATCATAGTCATCTTTATTTTCCTAGAATATCCTTTAGCACTTCTTGTAAGATTGTCTCAGTGGTCATGAATTCCTTCAGCTGTTTTTTATCATGAAAGTATCTTATTTATCTATTAATTTTTAATTTTTGTCTTTTTCCTTTTTATCAGTACCAGGGATTGAACTCACGACTGCCTGCTTGCAAGGCAGGCACTTATGCCGCTGAGCTAAATCCCCAGCCCCTTTATCTATTAATTTTTAAAGATAGTTTTTCAGGGTACATCAATCTGGGTTGGAAGTGGTTTTCTTTCAGAACTTGAAATGCTTCACTCCAAGTTGTCCTTGACTTGATGGTTTCTGTTGAGAAGTCTGTTGTGTTCTGATGGGTTTTCTTTTATAGGTGATCTGTTTCTTTTCTCTGACAGTGTTGAGAGCCCTTAAAGCTGAAACTGACCACACATGCAGAGCTGGGATATGACAAGGGCACAGACTTCCCAAGAACAAAGAGCACTGGGGGCAAGCCCCATGAAACCTGCTTCAGCCCAGAGAAACACGTAGCCTCAAGACAATCCGCATAGTGGGTTGCTAGGACGATAGGGTGTCATATGACATTAAGTTGCTAAAGTGTATAAATAAATGCCCCTACAGTGAAGGGGCAGTTCCTTTTCTCCCATCAGGAGAGTAATTGACCTCAGCTCTGTCTTTCTTTATTTTCTCATCCCAAGAACCTCAAGAGCCATGCAGGTCATGGAAAATGTCACCTGATCAGCAATTGGGTAAGAGCTAGAGGGCAAGGGGACACATTTCATGTGCACACAACTAGGGGGAAGTGAACAGGCAGTGATCAATATTCATCACTGGAGTGAATTGATATTGATGTCATCAGGTGTAAAATTTGAGGATACAAAAAAATGGGTTCACTAGGGCCAAAGAGAGAAATAGGTTTAAGAGAAACCAAAAACAGACGAATAGTCTTGAGGGAAGCCAAAGAGACAAACAGGCTTAAGAGAATTTTAAGAGGGAAATAGATTCATAAGAAACAAAAAGAAAAGATGTGTATTGAGTTTATCAATTGTTTAATTATGGGACAAATTCTAAACAATCACAAATGTACATGGAAATGGTTGTTGTATCCTTGGTTCCAGTAATTACTTTTCCTTTGTGAATTTTCACAAATTTGTGTGTCATCCTTGCACAGGGCCATGCTAATCTTTTCTGTATCGTTCCAGTTTTAGTATATGTGCTGTGAAGTGCGCACTCCTTTGTGGATTTTGCTTAGGAAGTGTCTTGATGATTGGGGCTTGTTGGGAAGGCTACAGAGAAATTGTCTTGGAGCACTGTTTTGGACTTGGGTCCCTAGCAGGGAAAGGATGGCAGAACTCTGGTGAAGTTTGAGCATTCTAACATTGCTCAGTTGGATAGGAGGGTAATGATGGAGGATAGCTCTTCTCCACAAGAGGAGAGCTTTGCTGCCAATTCCATTTTACAACACCCGATGGCCTTAACTGCACCAAAGCAGTGATTTCCGCCCCTTCAGTTCAAAAAAATCTTGCTACATTACAGGCTACTGCCACCTATGGCTCTGCAGCACCATCTGAAATGATTGGAAAGGAATGGCTAAAACATGTTTAAGTCCAGGGATTATTTGTTGTGGAAAGAAAATTTTTTTTTTAATTATACACAGATCAGGCCTTGTAATGCCCCTCAGAACATAACCATTACAAAAGATATGTTAATTGGAAAAAGCGTCTCTGCTGCTATAGGCAGTCAACTTGCTTTTGATGTACAAGTTGATATGGTTTTGATCAACTTAGAATAGCAACTCAAGATCCTGGAGGAAACGTTCTTCATGAGGTGAAACTTCCATTGATTTGACCCTAATAAACCATTTCAGGAGTTTACAGCTCACTTATTGCCAGCTAGTGAGAAAATTATAAGCAAAACAGAGGATAGCAAGTCAATAGTTCAAATACGGACTTTTAAAAATGCAAATACATGGCTTAGGGCATCAAAAACTTCCCTGGGGCAGCCTGGCTCTGCATGGCTTGGTGCATGGGAAGCTTGCAGAGACCTAAGCTGCAGGCTTGGTGTTTGCTTGCCACTGCAGGAGGTGGCAGGTGGGCAGGCAGAGGGACAAAAGCCCAGCTAGTCCTGCCTCCCTCCCGCATGCATGGTGTGAGGCGAACTCCACCCAGGCCTGCCAAGACATTTAGCGGCTAGGCTGCTGGCAGGGCAGGCCTCGGCCCAGGGCCGGGGGAGGGAACACGGCCCTAGGACACCTGAGCTACCCCAGTGTTCTCCATCGCTGCACACAGCCAGCCACGCCCACCACCTGAAGGCCTGGAGACCCAAGACACACCTGAGCGGGGGAGCAACAGACAACAAGCAAAAGCTCTGGGTGACTAAATACAGAATGCAATTTTTTCCTCTATATGTAAAGACTTTACCACAAAAGTTCCTTACAATCCTAAGGTCTAAAAATTTTTAAAATATGCTCACAATTAAAATTTCAAAAACAAAAGGGTGAGTTCATCTCATAATAAATATTTCTTGGCAATATATACTGAAAGGTTCTTGCCCTAGAATAAATTACTGTACAATTATGGCCGTGGTCTAACGTGACGCCTTCTTCTTCAGCTCTAATTGCAACTCCTTCTCCTCTTTGCATGCAAAGAGAATTCCAGTCAGTTCCTCACACATCATAAAAACACCTCTTCTGGTCGGGGATCACATAACCCTCCACCTCTCTGTATCCAGTCGAAGGAGACAGTCCAACTGTCATGGGTTGTGTGCTCCTTTCTACATCCTTAAGAAACCTGTTATTTTCTTTTTTATATATTTTGCTTCTCTATTGCACCAAAAGACTAACATTTTGGTGCCTGCGACTCGGATTGGCAGAGTGCCTTAGCTCCTGGGAGTCACTCACAGATCAAGCTCCCCTGCCTACGAACCACCTTTCCCCCTCTGGGAACTGTTTATTTGTCACTGCTAGCCTGCATTCAACACTGACCCTCCTTTGTCACAGGTGAGCTGCCTTTCGAGGTTTTGTTTCCATTCCTCAGTGAATAACAGCTTTCATGTTCCTTGCATTGCCAAGGCAAAGCTGTTTTCAGCCTTAAAAATTTGTAAGCTTGCATCAGAAAATCTATCTGTTGCCATCCCTGGACAGAAATAGCAGTTTTTATGTTCCTTGGGCGGGACAGCCCAAGGCAAAACTGTTACCCTCTTGTTCTCTGAGATCCTGCCCCACACTCTTAGTAAATGCCAATAGAATGGGTGTTGGGACCTTCAAAACAGGTGTCACACTTTCAAAACAGGTGGTGACTTCTTTTGATAGGTGTGATCCAGGACAGCTTTCCTGTTCCTTGCAGGGGAAGTGTAGGCTTTTATGTCCCAAGGCAAAGTTGTTCTCTTAGCGTACCTCTAACTGGGTCATGGGGACCATTTCCTGCCCCCCAAAAAACACACCTCTGGAGAGCCTGGTCTATAACCTTGGTGCTCTTGGCCTTAAGAAGGCTATAAACAGTAAAAAGCTGATCTTTTATTTATACTTTTGTCATAATGGCAGCAAGTTGGCAGGAACCCCTTATTTTCAGAAATTTTTCACTTTGAGGACGTGTCCTTCTCTCATTCTGTCTTGTACAGTGGCCCAAATACTTCTGGCTCACTCTGCTCACTCTGCTGCACCAGAATCTCTCCCTTCCTTCCCACCAGATGCGTTAGATGATGCACCCCCTGTCTTGTAACAGCACATTAGTAACTCCATCAGCAGTCTCCCTGATTGTGGGAAAGGCTTCTATCCATCCGGAAAACTAAAGACCAAGGTAAGAAGCTATTTGAGAGTTTTGCCGTGGGGCATGTGTATATAATCTACCTGCCAGTCCTGACCAGGGGTGTGTTCATGAACTTGAAGAGTAGGAAAGGAAGAGGGTGGTATGTGTCCCCAAGGAAAGGTTTTAACACAGAAATGATAAGTCTGAGTCAGTGGTTGAACTCTGAAAGTGTCTGGGTCAGTCCACATAGTCCACTGCAATGGCAGTCAAGGTCACTAGACTGCCATCCTGGTTAATTTAATTTGTCCCTGCAAGAAAGTTAAACAGGAATAGCATGGGTAGCACAGGTAGGGTTGGAGGTGTCTCAAACTTCGGGATTGACAAAGGAAGAAGGGAGAAGAAGAGATGGGTTTGCAGAGCATTGTGATGGTGTTTGGAGGATGAGAGCTGTGGAGAGGGAGAAGGTAAAGGAGAAGTTAGGCTTTGGGTGGAGATCTCTACCTAAAAGGGGTGTGGGACATGTTGGTATTACCAGAAAGCTGTGGGTAAAGAAGAGAGATCGAATGGGCCCTGTCTGAAGAGGCTGTGTAGGCTGGCCATCAACACCCACTACAGAGACTGAGGATTTAATATAACAGCCTGGAAACTCAGGAAGAACCCTGTATGTGGCATCTGGGAGTGTCTTTCCTGGCACCTCCAGTGAGACCTGGGGCTCTGAGAAGGCTACCTTAATGGGGCTGTGGGCCTCAAACCCCATCAATTTTCTGGTGGTGACAAGATCTCCTGTGAGGGCAAGGAATTAGAGGATGGCTTACTCGCTCTCTGGTGGCTAGGACAGTTGCTCTTCCAATGGTTCTTGAGATTGCAGAAGGGACATTCTCTTGCTTAGTGTCTTTTTTTTTGTCACACTTGAAGCATGGTCTGGGAGGGGCTCAGGCAGCTCCACCTTGTTTCAGTTTACCTGTCTTAGAGCTCCAAGTGCCACTGCTAAAAGATCAGATTGTTATTTTTGCTCCTTTTGAGTTTTATCTCTGTTGTTGAAAACACAAAAAGCCATATTAAGAAGGTCTCTCTGTGGAGTTTGAGAAGGCCAAGTTTAGCTTTTTGTCTTGGGATCTGGCCCACAGCAGGAGGTGTCTTCCTCCTCCAAGGTCACAAAACATCTGGTCCTCTGTGTTGGCTCTCAGCTGCCTATACTGTTTTTCCCTCTGAAAAAGTAACCCAAACTGCCATGAGGAGTAATAGGCGATGACCAATCTGGCTTCTTCAGGCTGAAGAGGGTTGAAGTTCTCGAACGGCAGTCAGGGATACTATGCAGAGTTTTTAATTAGTGGCCCACAGTAGATAGAAGGCATTTTCATCTTTGGTAGGTATACAGGTTTAAGTCTAGAGGAGACAAAGGCAAAGAATCAATTAAGAATGCATGGGCTAAATAGCAGAATCAACAGGATAATTATGAGTATAGTTTTAGTAAAGGCTTAGTAATGGCTTCCCACAGGAGGATAAGGTCCAGGGAATTTTAGAAACTGACATGTGATTGATTTGTCATACACACATTTAATTTTTACAATTGCATAAGTACCTCCTATGCTGTTAGAATGTCTACTGCCATCTGATTTTGGAGGCTGGCCTGTTTTGTTAATTTTACCTTTTTTAGGAGAGATATCAGCTGTGGTATTATTTAAGGCCAGTTGAGTACAGTTAATTATGGCCTCAATATGTGTCATCTAAACGTTTTCTGGAAAATATCTGGTGGATCCCAGTAAAAGGAATCTAAAAGGAATTTATAATTATCTCTAAACTTTAGTTGTTGAACATCCAGAAGAAAAGATTGATAACAGTACCGCATAGTAGAGGCAGTAAGCTTAACATAGAACATTAAATGGAAGCGCTATTTTCTGTTAATTATGGGTGTTTTAACATTTGAGATGACATTTGGTAACACATGTCCTTTAATGAGAAGTAACTGAAAAAATTTGTGACATTGTTTGTTTGCTCAATATTTATGCATCTCTAAGTATAGTGGCACATATATAACATATATATTACATAAGGTTTTGTTTAAAAATTATGAGTTGACTGATGACCTCATGTTTGTTTGACTTGAATTTCCTGGCTGGAGCACAAGAAAAAGGCAGATATCTGGATCTGAAAGAAAATGTTTATCATCGTAAACAATCCCAATTTTATATTTGAAGGCATAAACATACCATAAGATCAGCAACAATGAATTGTCTTAGTCATATGAACTTTAGTTGGGGTGTTTCCCACAAGGCTATAGAGATTATTGGGGCCTCTGATTAATGAATAAGAACTGGCTAAAGTTACCAGGTGGCCACTTTCTTATACATCAATTGAAGTCTTGTCCAATCTCTCCTTATCCTAGGGGATTTTGTTTAATCAATTTTAGCATCATTTTGACCAGCTGGCAACTAAGGTGGAAGCATGCTTTTTAAATCTATAACCCAAATAAACCTTGATTAAA